TCCTGTTAATGGAGATGAAGCTCTTTAAATCTAAATTGGAACTCCTTTTGCAATTTTTACAGTGAATCCACACATGTTTTGTTTGGGAATGCAACCAATGGTTTTTCCGCTAACAGATTTTGAGTTGTGGGGAGATGGCAGAAGTTTTCCTCCTTCACTTGTTTGATGAGGAGGCCTAATTTTACTTGAAATGCTTCCAATGTGATTGCATATCACAGATGAGCTTCCCCTTTCCTTGAAGTTGCACATTGAAACTGTTGAGTAGCTCTGTTACTTCTGTCAGAAAGGCAAGGTGCCATTTCCATTCTGCATCATTAAGCTCTGGTACTTCTTTGTTTTTTGAAAACAGAAAAGCTGTAATCTGTGGAAGTAAGTCATAGAAACGTTTCAAAACTCTCCCTCGACTCAGCCAACGGACTTCTGTGAGGTACAGAACATCTTCATAGTCAACATTTAGCTCAGACAGAAATTCCTGAAATTGTCTGTGGTTTAGTGCATGAGCTCTAATGAAGTTAACAGAGTCCCACTTCAGTCATTTACTACACCGCACTTGTTGGTGGATGAGACAGTGTATGGCTATTGGATGAGAATGGTTATGTTTGTCCATCTCTTGGTTAATGCGAGCAATCACTCCTTTCTTAGACCCCACCATGCTAGGAGCACCATCAGTTGTCACACTGGCTAGTTTAGCCCAGTTCAGCTCCAAACCATTCACAGTTTGGCAAACCTTTTCATAGATATCCTCTCCTGTAGTTGTTCCTTTGATGCTTTGCAGTGCAGAAAGCTCTTCTGTGACTTCGAAATAGTCATGCGTCCCACGAATAAAAATTAGAAGTTGTGCAGAATCACGAACATCATTGCTTTCATCGAGTGCCAAGGAAAAATAGGAAAGTTTTTTTGTGGAGTTTTGCAAATGCTGATGCAAATTGTCTCCCATTTCTTCAATCCTCCGTGTAATTGTAGGTCCTGAAAGACTCACTGTACTAAACAAATCGGCCTTCTCTGGACACATCTCTTTGGCAACAGAAAGAAGGCATTCTTTAACAAATTCTCCCTCCACGAATGGTCTGCCAGTGCATACTATTAGCTTGGCAACTTGACAACTTGCTCGCAGTGATGAAAAATTTAGCTGCTTCTGCTTCACAAAAGTATTTTGCTGAGTTGTTAATGTATTTTTCAGTTTTAATATTTTATCTTTTCTCACTTCTCCGACCAAACAATCATATTTATCTTTATGTTGAGTTTCATAGTGTCGACGTAAATTGTATTCTTTGAACACAGACACTATATTCTGGCATATCAGACACACAGCTCTTTCCTTGTACTGCATGAAAAAGTAATCATAAGTCCACTGTTTTTGGAATATCCTACACTCCGAGTCAATTTTTCTCTTTCTTGACATCATTGTTTCCTAGGGAGTCAAAATTGCTATTAGTAAAATACCAATATATATACAGCGCTACAAAAACAATATACCAGCGATAACTTTGCCCACACAGAGACATACAGACTGCACTGCCCATCAATGCAGTCTGGATTGGGGGAACTCCGCTATTACCCCAGGTTCACACTGGTGCGGGTGCCATTAAAAAGTTAATTACACCTGCAGTTTTGTGCGGTGCATAGGAATCTGATCGCATGGGGGAGAAGACCCATGCGATCCGATTCCACTGCAGGAAAAAAGAAGGCACATGTGCCTTTTTTCTTCCGAATCTAATGCAAGTTCAGCCATACAAGCATATGGCTGAACTCGCACTGCTCAGAGATCGCAACAGTATGAACCGGGGCTTACACAGCATACAACATATAACCTCATATAATTGAATAGCAATTAGAATATAAATGCACTTACTGTCATTTAAATTGGGTTTCCTACTCCTCGGCTGTCTGTCACTGACCAGCACGGGAAAACAGCAGGCAGCCCCTCCAGAGATCAGAGATCACTCTGTTATTACCCCTCTATCATTTACTCAGCACACAGGAATATCACTGGGAGTGGAGCCGAGGGGCAAGTGAGGGAGCTGAGGGAGGGAGAGCCAGTCAAGCGCAGCCAGGGGAGGGCTGGCAGCCTTAGGCCTGGGGGGCAAGTCCAGTCAATTGGCCCATTGAACCATTCACCAGCACAGCCCAATGAGTGCCCACCGCCGCAGCTCAATCATTGCCCACCGCCCCAGCTCAATCAGTGTTCACCAGCGCAGCCAAATCAGTGCTCGCCACCGCAGCCCAATCAGTGCCCACCACCGCAGCCCAATGAGTGCTCACCAGCGCAGCCCAATTAGTGCTCACCAGCGCAGCCCAATTAGTGCTCACAAGCGCAGCCCAATTAGTGACCATGGGCCAGATAAATGCCCTCGGTGGGCCGCATGTGGCCCGCGGGCCGTAGTTTGAGGACCCCTGATCATGACCAACTCGGGCATTAAAGTCACCCAACAAGATGACTCTATCCCGAGGGGCCACCTTAGCCAGCACCTGTGACAGGAAGTCATAGAAGACATTTGACTCATTGGCTTTGCCTGCATCCCTCCACGGATGTTCAGTGGGGGCATACGTAACCACGACCACCACTCCTTGCCTCTGGTTGATGGGAAGGCGAGCCCAAAGTAGCCTGGGGCTTACAGCTTCCCACACCTCACTACCACGCTCCCACGCCCCCTTCATTTTTTTTGTTCAGAAGAAGAGGCACTCCCTGTTGTTTGGCAGTCTCCTGCCTAGAGTAGAGGACTGTCCACCCCTCATGGTAGCAGGAGCCAGAGCTGGTCCAACGGACCTCCTGAATACTAAAGAGATCCAGGCAGTACCAGTCCAGTTCTCAACAGAGGAGTGGCAGCCTCTTCTCTGCAGTGAGCATTCTAACATTCCACGTGGCCATCCGTAGTGGCTTTTTGTTGTTTATGGAGGAGCCCTGAGGGTAAGGATTCAGTCTCCTGGCTCCGTCAAATCGGGATTGGCCAGTAAACGTCATAGACGCCTGTCCCTCCAGGGCCTCCAGCACAAGCTTAATACATTTTTAACTCATAGGTTAGTGGTAGTTAATTGAAGTTGGAGGGGTTAACATCCCCTTGCACCCATCAAGTTCCCCCATTTGGCCGCTGTCGTGGCTACAAACGCCAATCTATATTGGCCCTCCCCCTATGGCTCTGCCCACCACAGCGTTGCCGTCTGACACCACGAGGAGGTAGGGGGTTGTTTTTCCCGGACACACATGTACACACAGAAGCACATACAAGCACACACACACCCAATAATACCCAATACCCGCCATTCTCCGCGAATTGATCGTGACGTCACCACGGTGCCTGTGCCAGGCCAGGTGCACTTTCAGGCCCCATGAAGTGTCGAAGGCTTGCTGACAGGAGGTCTCGGGACAGACCCAGGTGCCATGGGTTGGCTGACTGGTAGATGCACCAGCTGTATCCCCTACTGTGCCAACTTTCTGCATTTTAACCACCCGGCACTCCGCTCATTGTTCCTCCGCCCTCCGTTATTTCTGGAGGGCGACTGCCTCCAACTGCCCAGCAGCGTCCCTCACGAGCCTCCTCCACAGAGGTCGATCTTGACACCGCTGGTACCGGTCATCGGCAAGTCCACTCAACTCCACACCCTCTTGTACCACATCATTCCATCTGTTCTCTAGCATGTGCTGTGCCCGTTTAGCCCCATATAACCCACTGAACAAACGCAGCCTTGCCTGCCAGAGGAGCTCACGATGGGACTTTGTCAATATCTTTCAAGGATTTGTGAGCTCCTTAAACAATCCAGTCTGATTAAAATCAGGATGGATCGTATGGATGCCAGCCTAAATGTTTCTAACCAGCGAAGATGTTCCATTAGGAGAGTCCACGTTTCGCAAGCATAGAGAAGGGAGGGCATGACCATGGCCGGGAAGATCCTAAGCTTCGTGCGGACCATGGGTCCGATCCTGACCGTGACACCTGCTGTATATTTGGAGTCTGCAGCTCTCTCTCCCCGTGGTGATCGCGTGGATATTTATCCAGGTCCTCCTGATTTTTCCTTTCAAATTTAGAATCAACGTCATTCGCTCAGAGTATTTGGCTAATGCTATACATTTCCACGTGGCAAGTCACTTCCTTGAGCAGCAATCATTTGTGATAGCTAGGTCGCTTCTGAAAAAGAGCTATATAGCTCACTGGGCCTTAACTAGCAAAATAAAAAGTTTAGTTTTAATATGGGTCTCGATGAGTGTAAGTCTCTGTGAGTCTCTATAGTTATATACGAGTCTCTCAACCTTTGTGGGTCTTTGTGGGTCTATCAGTCTGTAGAAACGTAGATTCGATCCCGACCCTGAGGACTGCTGTATATTTGCAGTCTGCGTGTCTCTCTCTCCCCGTGGTGGTCCCATGTATTTTTCTCTGTGTCCTCCGGTTTTCCCCTCCACATTTAGAATCAACGTCAAACGTTTAGGGTATTTTTGCTGCTATGAAACATTTCCATGATGATGAAAAGCCACTTCGTTTGGCTATCATTTATGATCACCAAGTCACTTCTGAAAAATAACTACATAGCCATGTGGGCCTTACCTGGGAAAATACACATTGTTTTTAGTAGTAGTTTTAGGGAAGTGGACAAGAGGTTCTGCAGCCCATCAGCAGCCGATCCCTTTTAACAGTGAATCATCTTTTAGCGTTGCTACCTTGAAAAAGTACAAGCGTATACGTGTCTGTATATATGTGTATGTATCTCTATGTACGTATGTCTATGTGTACGTATGTGTCTATGTGTATGAGTATCTGTATGTATGGACGTGTGTCTGTGTTTGCACGTACATGCGTTTCTATCCATCTGTATGTGCGCGTGTCTATGTGTCTGTACATGTGTCTATGTATCTGTATGTAGTATGTACGTGTCTTTCTGTCTGTTCGTGCGTGTCTATGTGTCTGTATGCACGTGTCTATGTCTGCATATGCGTGTCTATGTGTCTGTATATGCGTGTGTCTATGTGTATGTATGTGTCTGTGCGTGTGCGTGTGTGTAGCCAGTACCTTGTTGTGCCAGCGTGAGCAGCGGTAGAGCGAACAGCACCAACCAGTCCATCGCGATCCACCTCCACCACAACACAGTCAACCGGCCAAATTCAACACCAATACTGGCCCAATGGTCCGTGACATTCGCTAGTCTTGCCCAGAATCGGTTGAATTCTAATCCTCGCGTTTAATTTATATTATACGATGGCAGCAATACAAATAAACACCAACGTTTAGTCAGTTCATCTGGTCACGACGAGACAGCTTCAGGAGTGAATTCGTGCCGTTCCGCTATTATAAACAGCGCAGAGCACACAGAGAGAGATGAGTGTTACCAACACGGTGCACCCAGTCCACGATAACGTCCGGGCTCAATCAACCACAGAGACCATCAGAGAGGGAGAGTGCAGGTCAGAGAGTGAGGGTCAGAGAGGAGCCCCTCCCAGGAAGCGCACCTCCCACATATTAACATAAACAAAGAAAAATAAACCCCGTATAGCCTCGATAGACTGCAAGTGCTGTTAGTGAGCGCCTATTTTTCAGAAGCGACCTCGCCACACATGATAGCCAAGTTAAGTTCCTTATCATGTTGAAATTTATAGCAGCCAAATACTCGAAGCACATGTTTGTAATTCTGGAGGGAAAACCGGAGGACCTGGAGAAAAATCCATGTAACCCCAGGGAGAACATTCATACTCTATATATACTGGCGTCAGGGTCAGGATCGAAAGCACGACCTCCTGTATACCAGGCGTGGTAGTTATCATCTCACCCACACAAAATGGTAACTTTTAAGTACAGCTTCACTATAACACTCAGCGACTTTTGAACAAATCAACCGGACCTCAAAAGCCAAGCAGATCTGAGCTGAGACATTGCCTGGATGGGTGTCCACAATGCACAAACAGGTTGTCATAAGGTTGCGAGGCCAAGTTGTGTTTATATGTAGATGTACTATAAGTCGATGCTGCCTGCCTATATCACTCCTCAATGACCAGCTGGGGTGAAATATGGTCAAATGGCCTTTACAACCAGCAGGGCGTGGGGAGGCCTTCATCCAGCAGTTGATTGACAAAAGGTTTATATGCTCCTAGGAAGAAATTGGGCAGTGCTCATCTCCACCAGTGTAAATTCCACATTCCCATGACAGGAACCATCTTTAACAAGCACTGACAACTTCGCAAAAGTGCTATCCATTTTATGACCCTGTAGAGATGGCAATGATGGCTTGTCTATGTCAACCCTTGATGCTACAATAAATGAAAGTGTACGCATTGCTACACAAAAACAATCTACGTGATGAAAAGCTGATTGCACGCAGCACGGCTACTACAATTAGAATAAGGATCTGTGGTGCCACGGCCTCGAATCCAAGCTGTAAGCGCCGCGACCTCCCCCTTGCCCCCATACTGAATACACACACACAGCGCACACACATAGTATCCTGGCATGAGTTTGCTTGGCACAACGGGTTTTAATCCGAAGGGTCCCTATGAGGAAAGTCCCACGGTTTCCGATGCCAGGGGATTGGCAGACCTTCACACGACAATTTACACCGCAGTGCCCCTGAATTGGCTTAATAGTGTATGGGCACAAAAAAGTTACCGGACCAGCCGCGATGAGTCATTCACGGCATCGGGAGAATCCGGGGGCGAAATAAGCGAAAAAAGCAGAATATGAGGTCAGGGGAACGCAGCACCAGGGTCACCCCCCCTGACCCCCACACCAAATACACACCCCCATCCTGCCTTCTACAGCTAGGAGGTACGTGGTAGGACGCTTGAGTGACTGCGTAGGCATAGGCGGCACTCGGCTAGGCTTTTCTCACAAGATACTCTCCCCGAGCAGCTTACTGTAAAGGATTTTGGTTTGCGCCGAGAATAAAAGTTAGCACAGTGTGAATGTGTTGTGGTGTCTGCGATTTCTGTGTGGAGCGACTACGTGTGCAAGCTGAGTCCTGGGTAGCAGTTGGGAAACGCATGCCGAGAGTGAACCTGAGATGTAGATCGCGGAATCGCTACCACGTTTGCGTGGGTGAGGTAATCATGCAGGTGTAAGCGCGCTCGCAGCCCCCTTTTGTCAACGGGGCCGCGATGTGTATAGGCGTGCGTGTTAAAAGCTAATTGTACGCAGGTGGAAGCATGCATTCGTAGCCCTCCGGTAAGCGACAGCGGCTGGGTGTGTGAGGCCCGCGTTCACCACAGCGCTTAGCTAGGTAATCGCGTCCAGGCGGGAGTGCACAGTCGCCACAGCGCAGCTGATAGTTTATCGCTCGCAGGTGATAGTGAGGTTCGCGGCCCCTTTGTTAGAAACAACTGTGGTGTACACGGGGGTGTGGCTTAACCCCGTGCGGCTCCAAGGCCAACAGGACGAGCAAATCCTTCAGAGAGGGCGCTTGCAAGCAGGGCCCCTTCACTGGTTCGGCAGAGGCCCGGCGGGAGCCGACCGATGCAGTGGAGGAGGCAGTGGAACGGGCGGACGTCACGCCCATACCTGTGTAATAATGGACTTCGCCGACACACTGCTTGGTCTCCGTCACTCTTTATTCTGGTTGACGCTCGCACTCCGCTGGTCCCGACAGTGGACCAGTTGCTCCTCTTGCGCGCCCCGCACGCGCTCTCCCGTCAGTCGCTCCGCTCCTCCGCACCCGCACACCACTGGCCAACGGTGTGCTCGAAGCTCCTCCGGCCACGTGGCTGATGGCGCGGATCTCCTCCAGCCACCCAATGTGGTCCAGCTTCGTGACTCTACCAATTGACCCGGAAGTATATGCCACTGGTTCTTCATGTTCAGCAGATGTAGATGCCACTGATGCTTCATGTTCTGCAGCTGTAGATGCCACTGGTTATTCACCTTTTGAAGATGTAGATGTCACTGGTTCTTCACTTTCTGTAGATGTAGATGACACTAGTTCTTCTTGTTCTGCAGATGTAGATGCTACTGATTCTTCATGTTCTGCAAATGTAGATTCCACTGGTTCTTCATGTTCACCAGATGTAGATGACACTGGTTCTTCATGTTCTGCAGATGTAGATGCCACTGATTTTTCATGTTCTGCAGATGTAGATGCCACTGATGATTCATGTTCTGCAGATTAAGATGTAACTGGTTCTTCACGTTCTGAAGATGTAGATTCCACTGGTTCTTCACGTTTTTCTGATGTAAATGCCACTGATGATGCATGTTCTGCAGATGTAGTTTTCACCGGATCTTCATGTTCTGAAGCTGTAAATGCCACCGTTTGGTCACGTTCTATAGACGTATATGACACTGGTTCTTCATGTTCAGCAGATGTAGATGCCACTGGTTATTCACATTCTGAAGATGTAGATGCCACTACTTATTTACGTTCTGCAGATGTAGATACAACTGGCTATTAACTTTTTGCAGATGTAGATGTCACTGGTTCATCACGTTCTCTAGATGCAGATTCCACTGGTTCTACATGTTGTGCAGATGTAGATTCCACTGATTCTTCACGTTCTGCAGATGTAGATGTCACTGGTTCTTCACTTTCTGTAGATGTAGAAAACACTAGTTCTTCTTGTTCTGCAGATGTAGATGCTACTGATTCTTCATGTTCTGCAGATGTAGATGCCACTGATGATTCATGTTCTGCAGATTAAGATGTCACTGGTTCTTCACGTTCTGAAGATGTAGATTCCACTGGTTCTTCACGTTTTTCAGATGTAAATGCCACTAATGATTCATGTTCTGCAGATGTAGTTTTCACCGGTTCTTCATGTTCTGAAGCTGTAAATGCCACCGTTTGCTCACGTTCTGTAGACGTACATGACACTGGTTTTTCCACGTTCTGCAAGTGCAGATGTCACCGGTTCTTCACGTTCTACAGATATAGATGCCACTGGTTCTTCATGTTCTGCAGATGTATATGATACGGGTTCGTCATGTTCTGCAAATGTATATGCCACTCGTTCTTCACGTTGTGTAGACATTGAGGCCACTGGTTCCTCACATTCGGAAGATATAGATGCCACTTGTTCTTCTTGTTGTGCAGATGTAGATGCCACTGGTTCTTCATGTTCTTCAGATGTAGATGCCACTGGTTCTTCATATTCTGCAGATGTAGATGCCACTGGTGCTTCATGTTCTGCAGATGTAGATGATACTGTTTCTTAATGTTCTGCAAATGTAAATGTCACTGGTTCTTCATGCTCTGCAGATGTAGATGCCACTGGTTATTTACGTTCTATATACATAGTTGCCACTGGTTATACATGTTTGCAGATGCCACTGGTTCTTCACATTTACTTGATACAGCTGTCGTGGCTGTGACGGTTCCACCTGAAGACGGAAGCTTGTGTTGCCTCCGAAACGTCGTGATTTTTATTTTATTTTACTTTTATTAATTTTTATGTTTTACCTACGTGACTTTACCGAAAAAACCTAAGAATATGAATCCTTGCAGTCACGAAAGCTTCAAATCTAGAATGAAAGAGGAAAGACAAGAAGCTGTCGTGTCGAGTCGAGCACTACATTAATATCAATTATGTGAGTGTATAAAAACCAATTCTCGGGGTAAGGGGTTCTCGCTCTCCGCAACGTACATAGTTCTTGATGTGAATTGTTTTTTATACATAGGTCTTTTGTCAATCTATCTGCTGGATGAAGGCTTCACCTCGCCTTCGCCCTCACAATTGGCCAGTCTATCCACAACTGGATGAAGGCCTCCCCAATCCTGCACTAATACATACCGGATCTCAATAACATCGCTCGTCGTCGCTTGAAGTCACGCAAGCCCTTTTGGATCCATGCGCTTAACCTTAAACAAAGCAAATTCAACGCAAATGAAGTCCGGAGAGCTGGAGTTCAAATAACTCACAGACACCTTGTGAATGACCCAACGAAGAAGATTCCTGCATGGGTTTGATCTTCCACGAAGAGCGGCATGTAGTTGTGGATTTGAGAATCGGCTTGGCGTGGCGCAGGGGTTTGATCAGTGAGGCGTGGAGCATGAAGTTGACAGCACATTTGGTCATTTCAGATGGTCCGACATACTCGTGTAATGAAGATGCTGGTTCACTAAACCCACCGTGTGAATGGAGTTTCCACCTGGATTTTGTGTATCCAAGTGTGGAGAGAAAGAAGATCACGCGAGAGAACTATAGTTTTTTTTTGTTAATTATTGTTGACCACCCGCACTGTGCCCAAGAGGATGATCACGGCCAGGAAGAACCGAGGCACAGTGGGCGCAGGTCACATCTGCATCTACATCAGCCACACGGAAGAAGACTAGTACTTAAGCATCAGCCATGATCTATGCA